TCACAAACGTCCATCTCGTCGCCACTTACATTCACAAAAGCGAGAGGTGTAGAAAAGACCCGTTCTGCCTCCCTCTTGGGCTAAGCACTCGGCTACTGAGCGTGAGTCAGACTTTCTGCTTTAACCATGTCATTTACCTCACAAAGGGTTTTGCAGGTCTGTGTTAACACAGAAAGATGTCCCTGATACTTTGTGGAATAAGAAAATAATTTAAGGGGCCGGTCGGTGGTAAAAAAGACGCTCTGTGAGGCTGACGCACGTGGCAAGGTCGCAGGTTCACGTCCGGAGGCATCCCTGAGTGCACCGGGCGTGACCATGATCAGGGCCGGCTGGAGCTGGGGCAGGTTGGAATAACCAGACCCTGTTGGGAGTGTCGTCTCTTTCTGGTTCTGTGTCTTTCTATCTCTCCTTTAATTTGACCAAAGAGAGAGAGAAAGGGAAAGTGAGGAAGCCAGGTCTGGGACTCGAACCGCAGTCAGCCATGTGAGAGTCCAGCACCTGAACCACCACACCAGCTGCCTGTCCCTGGTTTTATTTCTATAGAGTTTTATGCATCTGTTTACTGTAGAAGTGCTATTTTAAACAAGGGGTGAGTGCAGTAACTCATGCAGCTGTTTAGAATATTCCCTGACAATTGGAGAAGCGGGTCCCACAGTATACGGGCTTGAATTCCAGCCCCGGTGGTTTGAGAACCACGCCAGACACATGTGATGTGTGTCCAACATCCCAATGAGATAGAGAAGTGGAGGAGAAGAGATTGTAGTGTGACCACATCCCATGAGGGGATGCTTCTCCCTCTCCCTCTCTCTGTCTCTCTGGCGAGTGCACAAGTCCTCCAACAGAAAAAGGAAAAAAAGTTACAAGAATAGCACAAGGGGTTCTCGAATAGTCTTCCCAGCATCACCAATTATTCATGCGTTGCCATATTTTCTTTATCATTCTCTACACACATCTTTTTTCTGAATCTTTGGAGAGTGGGTTATAGATACGATGCTCCTTCACTCCTAAATACTTCGGCACACATATCCTGAGAACATGGACGTTCCATAGTCATAGCATGCATCCCTCAGGGCGATGACCGCAATCCCCCACACACACACAATCCCTTCTCCTCCACTCTCCTCTCAGGATTTTGAGCATGAACGCACGTGTGCTTGGCTTGTTTTTTTAAGCCACCAGGTCCAGGACTTGAACCGTGCAGTTGGCCATGTGGGATCCAGCTGCCCAAACCACCATGCCACCTGCTGGCCCGAGAAGTAATTTTAAGACTCTGAAATTATTCAGCACAAAACAAGCTGAAATTTGAGGAACTTAGAGAACTAATTTGCTTTTACAACTAGGAAGCAGTTAAGTTGGTATTTGAATCAACTTGACTTGGAAATCTACCTCTATCCACCATGTCCTTGCTTCACGCGTTCAAACACACAGGAAGACAAGTGATTCCAGGAGCTCTGACGCTCTTGCTCACAAAGAAGAGGGTTCTGAGCAGGATCCAGCTGCCAGCTGGCTCCCTGGAAACTCTCAGGGAAGGAAGGCTCATCCAGGAAGTTAGGCCCAGGAGGGGACAAGGAAAGTCTCCTCTGATGACTTAGAAGTCTACCCTGATGTTATGTTCACCCTAGCCACCGTAACATGAATTTAACAGGTGGCTGAATGTGGGGAAAGGAACATTCTCATACCTGCTGGTGGGATCATAAATATGACAATAGTGATGAGAGCTTATTCTGGAGTTACAGGGGGTTTTTCAAGCTCAGTGCTGTTGACAGGGGCCAGATCATTCTTTGTTGTGGGGTGGGGGTGGGGGTAGTCCTGTGCACTGGAGAGTATGTAGCAACATCCTGGCCCCTCCCCACTAGGGGAGCACCACACTTTGTTTGACAACCAAAAATGTCTCCAGACATTGTCACATGTGCCCTGGAAAGGCACCACCCATGAGTTTAGCAAATGTGCCACCCGGCTGAGAACCACTTCTTATACGTACTACACTAACTTAATATCTCAACCACCCTATGAGATGGGTACTTTTGTTACCCTCATTCTGCAGAGGAGAGGCACACATGGGTTACAGTACAGTAATGAAGGGATTAAACCTACACCATCTGGGGCTGGCAGGGGGCGTGTGGTTGAAGGCGCTAGACTTCCACATGGCTGACGGCAGTTCAAATCCCGGACCTGATGGCCTGCTTTCTCACTTTCCCTTTGTCTCTCTCTGATCAAACTGGAAAATAATAATAATATATAAAACAATTCCTTAAAAAAAGAAAAAAAAACCCTACACCATCTGAGCACAAAGGCCATCACACCTCATTGTAGGGACAGCCTTTCTGGTTTGAACTTTCCAGAGACTACTTTGGCAACATATTTACAAGTAGACATGGATATCGTTTGGCCTGAGACCCCCTATTGAAAACTTCGCTCTGAGGGAAGTATTTTCACAAACGTCCATCTCGTCGCCACTTACATTCACAAAAGCGAGAGGTGTAGAAAAGACCCGTTCTGCCTCCCTCTTGGGCTAAGCACTCGGCTACTGAGCGTGAGTCAGACTTTCTGCTTTAACCATGTCATTTACCTCACAAAGGGTTTTGCAGGTCTGTGTTAACACAGAAAGATGTCCCTGATACTTTGTGGAATAAGAAAATAATTTAAGGGGCCGGGGTACGCATTAAAACCCGACGCTCTGTGAGGCTGACGCACGTGGCAAGGTCGCAGGTTCACGTCCGGAGGCATCCCTGAGTGCACCGGGCGTGACCATGATCAGGGCCGGCTGGAGCTGGGGCAGGTTGGAATAACCAGACCCTGTTGGGAGTGTCGTCTCTTTCTGGTTCTGTGTCTTTCTATCTCTCCTTTAATTTGACCAAAGAGAGAGAGAAAGGGAAAGTGAGGAAGCCAGGTCTGGGACTCGAACCGCAGTCAGCCATGTGAGAGTCCAGCACCTGAACCACCACACCAGCTGCCTGTCCCTGGTTTTATTTCTATAGAGTTTTATGCATCTGTTTACTGTAGAAGTGCTATTTTAAACAAGGGGTGAGTGCAGTAACTCATGCAGCTGTTTAGAATATTCCCTGACAATTGGAGAAGCGGGTCCCACAGTATACGGGGAAAAAAGCTGAAGCTGGTCAAACATCAAAGAGTGGCTATCCTACTTGGGGACAGCTGGGGACAACACATGACTTCTGTGCACGCAGGTGTGTACCCACTTCTCCAGACATATCTCCTAACATTCCACCTACTACCCTCTGTGTTCCAGCCCCAACAGCCTCGTATGCCCTTCAATGGTGCAGGGGGCCCAAAGGATGGTTTGGGGAGAAAACTGGAACCCCTTCATAATGTCCGTCAGCCCTGCCCCCCACTCGTACACTCCCCTCTGAGTAAAAGCAGTGCCCTCATTTCATTTTGCAATCACCGGGACAAGCCCTTTTACTCCACTTTTTGCTGGACTGATGTCCCCCAAAACCCAACCCAACATCACTATACAAGCGCTTGCTGTATTTTCCCTGGATAACAAGAAGTCCTGGCATACGAGCCCCTCTGTTGTGTTGCCAACAGTAATAACCGAAACTGGGTGGTTCATAAGACAGAGGTTAATTCAGCTCACAGTTTGAAGGTCCAAGGTCCAGGGCCCACCTCTGGTATGGCTACAGCATGGCAGAGGGGTGTGTGTGTCTGTGTGTGTGTGTTTAAGAGAGATTTTTACTATAGGGCACGTGCGCTTGCCAGAGAGCCAGAGAGCCAGAAAGCAAGAAAGCAAGAAATCATCTCCCCCTGGGAGAGGGGATGGCCACACTGCAATTCTTTCTCCTCCATTCTTCTCTCTGGAGCCTGGGTACACATGCACATGTGATGTGCCCAGCATGAGTTTTCAGCTGTTAAGTCTGTGTGATGGGAGTCCAGTGATGTAACCATTATGCCATCTGCTGGTCCTAAGGGTTTTTTTTGGAGAGATTTTTTGCTATAGGGCGTGTGTGCTTCATGGGAGAGACAGAAAGAGACAGAGAGACAGAAAGTGAGAAATCACCCATCCCCAGTGTGAGTGTGTGGGGGGGGGGGGGGGGGGAGGATGGCTACTTTGCAATCCCTTCTCCTCCATTCTTCTCATGGGATCTTGGGCACACATGCACACACACCTGGCATGAGTTTGAAGCCACCAGGACCGGGATTCAAACCGCAGTTATGTGGGATTCCAGTGATGTAACTACTACTCTATCTGCTGCGCAAGGGCAGGATTCTTGTCTTTTTCTTTTTCTTTTTTTCTTTTTTTTTTTTTTTGAGAGGTTTTTGCTATAGGGCACGTGCGCTCGCCAGACTGACAGAGAGAGACAGAGAGATAGAAAGCGAGAAATCACCCCACAGGGGGATGACCATGCTGCAATCCCTTCTCCTCCACTCTCCTCTCGGGATCTTGGGCACGCACGCACATGGGCCCGGCGTGAGTTTAAGCCACCGGGTCCAGGACTCGAACCGCAGTCAATTACGTGGGAGTCCAGCGACATAGCCATTACGCTAACTGTTGGTCCCCTTTTCTTTTTCTTTTTAAGGGGGATTTTTGCTATGGGGCGCATGCACTCGCCAGAGAGATGGAGACAGAGAGACAGAAAGCAAGAAATCATTGCCCCCCAAACCCCGGGTCTATGGCCATATCGCAATCTTGTCTCCTCCATTCTCCTCTCAGGATCTTGGGCACGCACGTACATGCACCAGGCATGAGTTTGAAGTAGCCGGGTCCACAACTCAAACTGCAGTCTAATACGTGGGAGTCCAACAACGTATCCATTACGTCATCTGCTGGTCCCTCAAGGGCAGGATCTTGAGCAGAGTGGCCATCCAGAAGCTTCTGCCTGTTCTGGTCTCTTACAAACCCATCAGAACACCATCATATGGGCCCCACCCTAACAATCTTACCATATCCAAAGGCCTATCCTGGGACACCAGAAAGGGATTAAGTTTTCATTTAACACCTTTACAATACAACTGAGTCCCAACACATGAATTTTTAGGGGCTATCCAAACTATGGCACCTGGGTAGGACAGTGACATCATTAAGGACTTAGATTCTTGCTGTTCTTCTCAGCCACCCTCACCTGTTGGCCTCATCCTCTGGGGTTCAGCATGGCTGCTGCAATTCCGGATATCACATCTTCACCACTAGTGAACAAAGGCAGAAAAATGGACTGATCCTTCTCAGAAGTCCCCCTGCAGACCATTCCTTCCTCTTCTCGTAATCAGAACCAGCTGACAAGCCCTCCCCTCTCTCTCCCACCAAGCCATTGGCAAGGAGGGGAGGACCCCCATGATGGCTTATACTCATCAGCAGTGAGAGGAGGGGTGGGTACCAGAACAGCCAGGTCCCTGCCGTGCTGGAGGAGGGGAGCCAGCATGGTGGCCACATTCTTTCTCAGTCTCTCCAGCTTAGTGCCTCTTCTTCCCTTAGGCCGTCTGGCACCTCCTCCAGCAAGCCTGCCTTGTTTGCTCTGACTTTGCCAATGGACTAGCACCTGCTGCATAGCTCTGGTCACAGTTACGATTAAATAAGGACTTGCATGCGCCATTATTGATTACTGCCTGTCCTGTAGAGGTGACCCACTCTTTATCCCAAGGAGCAGGCCAAGCCGGGCCCAGAGCAGGTCCCCCAGCAAACAGTTACCGACTAGATGGTGAATTTGAGCATTACAAGAGGCGGGCAGGACTCTGGAGGCGCTTTCTCAGGGCAGCAGATGCCTTATTGAAGTGGACAGCACACAGCAGCTCCCCTAGGCGGGGCTCACAGTCCCAAGTTTAGCGACTACATGACTGCACAAACGAATACTCAGGCGTAGGCAGCTGGGAGGTGCCATGCCGAGTAATTTATTTTCCTCTCTGTCCCTTCTGACTGCTTTAAATCTTTTTCAGTGATGTGATGAGTATCACTTATAAAGACTGTGTCCATTTTACAGAAACAATTTGTTTAGAATCGTTCAGTTAATTTTTAATTTGCAATAGGGCATATGTGCTCACCAAAGAGAGACAGAGAGAGAGAGAGGGAAAGTGAGAAAGCCAGCCGCCAAGTCTGGGACTCAAACCATGGTCAGCCACATGGGAGTCTAGCACCTCAACCACCACACCACCTGCCAGCCCCAAAGGCTTTTTTTTTTTTTAAATAAAGAAAAATAATCAATTTGGAGGATGTGGAAGGACCCCAGAAGGTGCTGAGAATTTCTCTCTTCCTTTTTTTTTTAATCCCTTCCTCCCTCTGCAGCCCTCCACCCAGAGCACCCTCTGGAGTTTTAGAGCCTCCCCTCCTTCCAAGGGTAGTTCCAAGCTTGTCACAAAGACCCAAACGCCTGGGCTAGGTTCAAGAAGAAAAGTGAAATTAAAAGGTAAATTACCAGGACCAGCAGGGGTGTGGTAGTTAAGGCAATGAACCCTCCTACATGGCCAACCACAGTTTGAGTCCCCAGACCTGGCAACTTGCTCTCTCACTTTCCCTCTCTCTCAACTTGCTTTCTCACTTTCCCTTTCTCTCTCTGTCTCTCTCTGTCTCTCTCTCTCTGTCTCTTTCTGGTCAAATTAAAAATAGACAAATTAATTAAATAAATTTTTTTTTAAAAGGTAAATTACCAAGAGAAAATGGTACATGTATTTGTGGGGTTTCCCCCTCGCAAAGCCAGTATTTATTTATTTTTATTTTTTAAATAATTATTTTATTTAACTTTATTTATTTTAATTTGAACAGAGAGGAGAAGAGCAAGAGAAAGAAAGAGAAAGTGAGAAAGCAAACTGCCAGGCCCAGGCCAGGGACTCAGATTGTGGTCGGCCATGTAGGACCTTAACCACCATGCCACCTGCAAGCCCCCAAAGGCAGGATTTAGATTTGAAACACCTGGATCTTTTAATAAAGTGTTGGAATCTATGCTCAAAAATAGTTGGATCATATGTTTGCAGTAAAGTGTTCATTCATTCGCTCATTTACCCGCTCATTCCCTGGAATATGCCTCCATGCACAGTCCATCCTGAGTGTGAGGAACATAGAGATGAAGCAGATCTGGTCCCTGTCCCCAGGGAGACAGACAGGGTCACTCCAATCACTTCAAATCATGATTGGCACGTTAATGAGAACTGGGTGGGCATGGTGTGGGACACATCCAAGAAAATGGGCATTTGAAGTAGGTATTTTTTTTGGGGGGGAGAGGTTTTTGTTTTTGTTTTTGTTTTTGCTATAGAGCGCGTGTGCTCGCCAGAAAGACAGAGAGAGACAGAGACAGAAAGCGAGAAATCACCCCCCAGGGGTGATGGCCTTCGCAATCTCTTCTCCTCCATTCTCCTCTTGGGATCCTGGGCACGCACGCACACGCGCCCAGCGTGAGTTTAAGCCACCAGGTCCGGGAATCAAACCGTGGTCAACTACATGAGAGTGCAGTGACATAGCCATTATGCCAACTGCTAGTCCCTGAAGTAGGTTTTGAAGGATCCATAGAAGTTTGCCAGGCAGAGACGGGGTGGAAAGGCATTTCAGGCCGAGGGAAGTGCTGTGCCAAGGCACAGAGGCTGAGATGGCATAACGCATAGGGCACAGTGGTCAAGAACACTGGGTCCTAGTCAGGCTGCCTGGGTTTGAGTCCTGCCTCCCCTGTCTCTCAGCCGTAGGATCCTGAGTGAGGTTTCCCATGCTCTGTGTCCCAGGTCTCATCTGTTAAATAGAGATGATGACAACACCTACCCCAGGGTTGACAAGGACTAATTCAGACAAACCATGTAAAGAACTCAGACCAGCCACTGCAGTTCAGGTGTTTGGTAAACGGCTAGCTCCCAGAGTTGGTGCAATGAGTGCTGGGTGCAAGGGTGGAGACTCGGCTGAGGTTGGGAAACTGACAGAGGCCAGGGCACATTTTCAACAGAACATGGTCAGGGTAGGGTGCCTGCAGGGGTGAGTCGAGAGAGCCAAGGCAGCACGCAGGTCAGAGCAGGACCAGGAGGAGAGCCCTGGCGGCAGCTGTGCGGGCAGGGCAGGCAGAGGACTTGAGTCCAGAGGTGAAGTCGAGAAGTCTGGGGGTTGATTGACCATGGGATTGGGAGACAGAGGCCAGCCCCTGGATTCTGGCTGACAGAAGTGGAAGCAGGTGCCATGATGGTGACAGGCAGGTGTAGGGCAGGAAAGGGTGAGACCCGTTTAATGCTCGTGGGCAACACCCGCGATGCGGAATGTGAGGGAGAGAGACCGCAGGTTACATGAGCCCAGCTCCAGCCTCCACTCCTCCAGCACCTGCCAGCCCCATGTTCTGGGGGCTCACACTGCACACCCTGCCCCAGGGCAGCCTTGGAGGGGGATGGGGAGCTGCCAGTCAGCCATTGCCTCGGCCTGAGGACAGGGTTGGGGACAAGGGCTAGTCTAGGTGCAGGACTAGAAACAGGCCAGGTGTGCCCATCCTCCCAAAGAGCATTCTGGTCAAGGGACGGCTCATGGCCTGGCAGCCGGCCCAGCCCAGAGTCGTGGTGTTCCGGGGCTCGCTGGGATCACTGGTCCTCTTTCTGTCCCGACGATACAAAAAGCCTCAACTACACATGTCCCCAGGGTGTTGTGCTAAAGGCTTTGTGCATGGGCTGATGTGGAGAATCGTGGGCTACCTCCACTTCACAGTGAAGACAAACTCAAGAAGTGAAGGGACTTTCCAGGGGCACATGGCGGTTCTTCACTGCTCTGGTAGCCGCGGCCTTCCAAGTTTTCACGTTTGACTTGCACAGTAACTTCCGGAAAGCATGGCGATTACATAAAGAGAGGTGATCTCCGAACATGTGCTTCTGAATTTCATGTTCAAGAACTTTTTTTAAAGGCAGTCGCAAGGCTTATCTGCTAAAAATATTGACATGTAAGAACTTGGAAGCCAGTGGAGGCAGGAAGCGGTAATTACTGCAAAGCACGTGGTCAGCACGAGTGTCTGCCAACTGCTGGGCCATCTGGGAGCCCGGGCCCTGCCCCAGCGAGGTCCTTGGGGAGCCCCCCGCCCACTCAGGGGTCCTGGCCAAAGCCACTTCCGCAGACCCTGCCTGAGCGCTGAGCCCGCCTGGAAGCTGGCAGGCTTCCCGGCTGTGGTTTTTGCCTGATGTGCTGGGAGTCATCCCACGGTCTGAGGCCTGGCCTTGTCTGATTCTTCACATCCCTGGGGAGCTAGAGAAGGCCTGGGAGCAGTAGGGCCTGGGTTCAAATCTCACCTCTACCTCCTAGAAAGCCACCAGATCTGAGCGTGGGCTATGGAGCCAGACCCTGGGTTGAACCCCGGCTCTACCACATCCCAGCTCCTCTGAGCCCTCATGTCCACCAAAGGACCAGGGAGGTGCCAGCCTTGCAGGCTCGTACCGTGTTAAAAACCCTGTGTGTATAAGGCACTTGGAAGAGC